CGAGGGCGGGAGTCTTCCTGCCCAGAACCAGTCCGACCAGCCTGGCGCCGGGCCGCCTCGCCGCGTACTGTCGCCGCCCCGAGTTCCAGGGAGTGGGGCGGAGGGCGGGACCCGACATCTGGTCAGGCTGAGTTCCCTGCCTGGAAATCGACTTAGCGGGAGAAACCCAAGAACAGGAAGCCGAGCGGAAAAGTTGCATCGGTGCCGCGATCTGGGGTCTAGAGCGTGGGCAGTGCCTCGGCCTGCGGGCGAATCCCGCCCCATTGAAAGCCAGCCCTTCCCGAAGCGGGTCCGAGACTCAAACCTGCAATGACTGTCCTGCCCACAGCCCGCTGAACCCCGCATGTGCCATAGGCGCCGTCCTTGCGTTCGGAGGCAGGGCAGAGGCTGGATTTTGCTCCCCCGGAAGGGAGGGTATAGTTAACTGGGACCAGAGGTCTGGAGCACCCGGACCTGGGCCCCCCCCCCCCGAGAGCCCGTGTGAGCCGCAGGGCCAGGTGCCTTCCATCCGGGAACCTGTGGGAAGGGGCGTCAGGCGCCAGGTGCTCAGAGTCTATCTCCCTGATGGGTCAAAAGTGCAGGGCTGCAGCAGTTCCTGCCGGGCGAGGGATGAGCCCTAACACCCAGCGGAGAAGATTCTCCTGGGCCCTGCTGCCCAACTCTGCCTCTCGGTGCTAACCCAGGGCCCGTGTCCTCCACAGTGCCCCCGTTAAGGGCATGCTGCTGAGCCCACACCTGGAAACAGACACAGCCAGTCTGCTAGCAGGTGGCTACCTCTCAACGCAGCCCTCTTCCCAGAGCCTGCCTTCTTGGTACAGGGAGTCAGCTGGGAGCCTGGGGAGTGGCCTTAGATCTCTATTCTGCCCCTCCTGATTTATGTGATTGGGGAATGGGGGCCTCAGTTTCTCCATCTATGAAGTGGGAATAAGGACCCCTTGCTCTGCCTCCTTCCAGGTTGTGAGAATCAAATGAGTTCCCTGCTAGTGACGCTGAAGTGAGCGGTATGAAGGTTGACAAGGCCCCCGAGTTATGGCAGTAGGCTATGTCCCCGGATGTGGTTCATCAGTGGTGGATCTCAACAGGAAGAAAAGCGCTGGAGTCATGTGAAGCCTGGCTGTGCCAGGGACACTTCAGGAAGCCAGGGTACAGCCAGGTATCTAAAAGCCCCAAATCCTCCAGGTATTAATGGTGGTACACACCTATAGTCACAGCACTCTGGAAAGCTGAGGCAGGAAGATCTCAACTTTGAACTCAACCCTGGTAATTTATTGTAAAAGAAAGACCCTGTTTCAAATATTTAAAGGCAGGTGCTGAGGATATAGCTCAGTACAAAGGCTCTGGACTCAATCCCCAGTGCCACAAAAAAAGAAAAAAAAAAAAAAAAAAAAAAAAAAAAAAAAAAAGAAAGAAAGAAAGAAAAGAAAGAAGAATAGAAAAGTTGAAAGCTCTGGGAGTGTGGCTGTGGATAGAGCATTTACCTAGCCTGCCCAAGGCCCCAGGTTCAACTGCCAGTACCAAAAAACATAGAAGTAAAAAAAATTAAAAATGGGCTGAGGATTTAGCCCAGTGGCACCGTGCCTGCCTTGCAAGCGCAAGGTGCTGAGTTCAATCCTCAAATAAAAAATAAAAATAAAACAAAAACTGGACTATTCTAAAAGTAAGGATCCAAAAAGTTTTTTAAGGCAGGCGTGTGTATACAGGTTCATTCTCTCGAAGTTCTGAAGCTAGAAGTGTGAGGTCCTGGTGCCTGAAGAGTACTGCTCCTGTGGGGGGCTGCAGCAGAGAATCCTGTGCTTCTTTCTGGTTTCTGGTGGGTGCTGGCAATTCCTGGAGGTTTCCAGTTTTTGTATCCATCCTCACATGGCATCCTCTGTGTCTTTGTCCAAGTTTCCTTTTTCTTATAAGAACAGTAGATTAGAGCCCATGCTAATTCAGGATGATGTCATTTTAACTTGATTACACCTGAATTTAAGCAAAGGCACATTTACAAGTTATGAATTAACAATTTTTTAATTCTACTCCCTGCAATCAGCAAGTGGCTTTGACAGTCAATGACACAAAGATGGTAAGGACTCAAATCCTGGCCTAACAATGAAAGCACACGTGCTGATACACACAAACACACACACACACACACACACACACACACACACACTTTGAAGCTATTTTGTAATAGTCCACAGAAGACATAAAGAGGGCTTGAGCAAGGGCAGCAGTATGGAGAGTAGCAGGTGTTGGGAAGAGCTTTGGGAGGCTGAATTGTTGGGACTGAGTTGACTGAATGCTGCTGGTGACCCACACTCCCTGGTTTCAGGGCCTGCATGACTGCACATGCCACTGCTGAAATGGATTTGGGAATGGGAGATGCAGGGAGAAAGGTGACCATAGACCACTGAGACTTTCACAGTCTCAGTATTACTGACATTTTGGCCTGATAATTCTTGCTTGTGGCGGAGCTGTGAGCGTTGGAAGATGGTCATCAGCATCCCGGCTTCTGGCTTCTAGTCGTTTGAATCTCAGGTCCCTGAGGCCAGGCGGGAAGAGCTGTTTAACTGATGGCAGGACGTCATTGTTAGAGCTCAGCAGGCCATTTTGCAATGTGCTTCCCACAGCATAAGGTGATTGATGAGTAGGAAGGATAAAGGAGTGATTGCATGTGGGCAGGGGGGTGCATCTATCCAATGTCCCTCAACCGTCTTGTGGGGTTTTAGAGAGGAGAAAGTATGTCTCATTCACCAAGGTGTCCCTTCAACACTATACTTGGCATGGTTGGTGCTCAATAAAGCTTTGGGGAATTGAACTAATCCTTCCAACTAATTGATTTGGGAAGAACTAGAAAACCCACGTCGCCCCAGACCTTGCACCATGGGGAACTTTGGGAGCCTGGGTCACAGAGAAACTGCAGTCAAGGTGCTTCAGGGCACTTGGCCTCCAGGATCTGGTGAAACCAGGATGTGGAGCCTCAATATTCTCAGAGTGTAAGTGGTGCAGCCTAGCAAAGGTGAAGGAAGATATTGTTCTTGTCCACCAACAGTTGCAAGCCTAGGTGGAGAAACTCTTGGATCTGAGCCTCAAAAGAGAGGCTCACAGATGTTTAAAGCAGTAACCTTGGTAACAACAGAAACACTAAACCACCCAAATGTCCGTCACCAGGAAAGAAAATGAATAAGTAAGGATGACTTCATCATTTCATGGCAGTAAAAATGAATGAACATCCATTGTCAAAAGGATGAATTTACAACCTGAAGTTTGAAGAGGAAAAAGGTTTGCAGATGATGCAAAACTAAACAATGTGCTGGTTAGAGATTCACAAACATTACAAAGTTTACAAAGAGAACCAAAGAGTCATACAGTAGTCCTCCCTTATCCTTGAAGGATACATGCTAAGCCCCCTGGGGATACCTGAAACCACAGACAGTACCAAGCCCTGTGTTTGCTATTTTTCTATATATACATACACTTATGATAAAATCAACTCATAAAACAGACACAGTGAGAGATTAACAGCAATAACTAATAATAAGGGGCTTGCAAGTCCCTGAGTTTGATAGGACAGAGAAAGAAGGAGGAAGAGGAAGGAGAGGAGCAGGAAGGAAGGGAAGGAAGTAATAATAAACAGAACAATCCAGGCATGGTAGTGCACACATGTAATCCCAGCACTCTGGAGGATTAAATCAGAGAATTGCAAGTTCAAACACAACCTGGACAACTTAGCAACTTATTAAGGCTCAGCCTCAAAAATAAAAAAGGACTGAAGACATAGCTCAGTGTGAAGGACCTGGGTTCAATCTCCAATACTACATAATAAAATAAAATGGAACAATTGCAACCACATATACGATAAAAGTTCCAGCATGACTACTCTTGAGCTGTGGGTCCATTATTAAGTGAAATCAGGGTTACGTGAACTCATGCACTGCGCTCCCACACGGTTGATCTGATAAAAGGGACAGCTGCTAGGTGAGTAGGAAGCCACACAGGGTGGATTTGCTGGAGAAAGGGATGATTCATATCTAGGGCAGGATGGTACAAGACTGCATCACACCACTCAGAACAGCGTGCAATTTAAAGTTTATGCACTGTTTATTTCTGGGATTTTTCCATTTAATATTCTTGGACCAGTGCTGGCCTTGGGAAAGAGAAGCCCGGATAGAGGGGCACTCCTGTAAATACAGACTTGAGGATAGAGTTTACCTTCGTGGCAAGGAAGGCAGTGTGATTGGGAAGGGGCCCACAGGGCTTCAGAAGTATTTGCAATATTCTAGTTATTAAAAAGAAGGGTCGGGCTGGGGATTTAGCTCAGTTGTTCCACTGCCTGCCTTGCAAGCACAAGGACCAGAGTTGGATCCCCAGTACCAAAAATAACAATAATAATAATAATAAGATAAATAAAAAGAAGGCTCGGTAAAGGGGTGTTCACTTTACAATTCCTTAAACAGAGGAACACACAATTAAAATGTCAGTGTGAAGCTGGGTGTGATGGTGCTCACCTATCATCCCAGCATTCTGTAAGGCTGAGGCAGGAGGACTGCATGTTCTTTGTGACTTGGCAAGATCCTATCTCAAATTTTAAATAAACAAATAAGACTGGAGACAGAACTCAGTGCTAAAGTCCTGGGTTTAATCCCCAGTACCAAAAATAAAAAAATTTTAAAGTAAAATGTGCTGCTGGTCACTTCCTCCAGGGAGAGTCCACTGAGGAAGGTCATCAGAACTGGGGATTCCTGATTAAGGTCAGGGATTTTTCACCAGTTCCCAGCCAGAGGTGGGGGAAGGCATCGCCTCCCCTCTCCCCTTTTGAAAGATGGCAAAATAGACATTTAGGCTCTGGAATCCCCCAAGCCTCATAAACAGCTTCTTTTCCAGAAAGACCAGAGTGGAAATCTGGGAGATCCCCAGGCCTGGCCAGCTGGTGTGGGTGTCACACCTTGACATTTCAGTTCTGTTCCCCTTCTTTCTCCTCTGAGCAACTGCCATGCTTGTGCTGTTGGATGGAAGAAGAGGAGAAAAGAAATGAATGAGGCTACAAGACCCACACTCCAAAGAATCCAGGGCAGCAGCCCCCTGGCTTTTGGTTCTTATAAACTAACATTTTTTAAAATGTGAATATTGAAATGGTATTATCAGCACTTATTCTGTGAGTTAAGAACTTTAGAAAATGGCTAGGTATGGTGTATATGCCTTTGATCCCAGCACTTGAGAGGCTGAGGCAGGAGGATTGCCACAAGTTCTAGGCCAGCCTGGGCTACATAGTGAGTTTAAGACCAGCCTGGTTTATATACCAAGACCCCTGTCTCAAAATAAAAATAAAAAAAAAACTAGAAAATGATAATTTCCACCTGCTGACCTTCCACCTGTATAAAGTAAAGGCTGTTTTAGTACTGAAATAATAAAATGGAGGCAGGTGTGCTTTCCTCATAAAAGAGAGCCTTAGCCTGGTGTGGTGGTGCAGCCCTGTAATTCCAGCACTCTGGGAAGCTGAGGCAGAAGGATCAAAGCGTTAGAGACCGAGGCAGACCTGTCTCAAAATAAAGCTGGGGATGTGGCGTGGTGTAACGACCCGGGGTTCAATCCCCAGTACCACAATGCATCAATCAGCCAGTCCTTTGCAATACAAATATTCAGTTTTGGGCCGGAGATTTAGCTCAGTGGCGCCATGCCTGCCTCACAAGTGCAAGGTCCTAAGTTTGATCCCTGGTACCACCAAAAAAAAAAAAAAAAGAACAAAAACAAATACTCCTCAGTTTTATGAAAACCACAGCACCAGTGGGCCTGGCTTCCTCACTGTGGACAGAGTAGTTCAAACTTGGGCCACACAACACTGTTGGGAGGAAGGCTCTGTACTCATTCAAGCCACATGATGTCCATCCCAATGCTGGCCAGCGGTCAGTTCCCTGCTTGTGTGCCCTCAGGCACCTGGTACCCCTGCACTGAGCGGCCAGAGCTCCACACGCTCCTCCCCCAGGGGTCCCCAAGGGAGAAGGACCCCTCAGCCTGTGCCCACCAGTGAGGGAGGCCCATTGCTGTCCCTGGAGCCAGATGGATGCTGAGCTGGGCCCAGGAAGGGGCAGGATGCTTGGGCTCCACCTCAGCCCCTGGGTGGGGTTGTCTCATAGTCTAGGAGTCCAGGGAGCTCTGTCCTGGCCCCAGTTAGGTCGGTGACCTTGATTAAGTCACCTTCCCTCTCAGGGGCTCCAGATGGGCCTCCAGTGCTCTATGCCAGCACCCCCGTCACTCGGCCTGAGCCCAGGGGTCCCACAGGCCATCTCAGTGTTATGCCTGGAGCACAGAGCCCCTGCTGCCGTGCAGGACTCAAAGGCAGGGTAGTACTGTGGAGTTTTGAGGAATGAGAGCCCCGATGGTGTCAGGGAAGGAAACTACATTCTGCATCAGTCCCAGAGACCTGTCCCAGGCTTCAGCTGCTTGGTCACCCACCTGGAACAAAACTGGCCCCCTGGTTGCCCAGCCCAGAGCCCCATGGGGAATGTGACTCACTTCGCAGGGGGCCATTGTGGCTAATGTTTAACTTGGTCCCTCCTTCCGCAGGGCACTTTAGCCCCGGTAGACCTCAGTACAGGCTCTGCTCTGAGCACCCCTGCTACCACATGGGCTCCAGACACACAGCTGGTCCCATGGGAAGTGGGTTGCCAGTTGGGGTCCTGAGGGCTCCAGGACGGTCAGGGTGGTAACTGGTGGCATCCTGCCCTGGTCATTCCTAACAAGGAGGGAGGAGCACCAGCCTCTTCTCCAGCTGCAGAGCAGGGTCCAGATGTTGTGTTGGTTCACGACAGGCATCCGCCAAGAAGCCCCCATGCATCTCCCACGTGGTGTCCAACCTCACCTCTGCCCATCAGGGTGTCACTGGCATCTTACTTGAATGTTTCCCCTTGGGGGGGATACAGGAACTCCCCTGGCATTCGTGCAGGGCCCCTGACCCCCGCCATGTCTCTCTCAGACAGCAGCCTGTGGGGCATCATCACAGCCAGGCTAATCCCAGAAAAGGACAACCCCCTGGGTAGTGAACCTGGGTTCCCACCTGCGGTCTGCAGCCGTCAGATGCTGAACCTTAGAATGAGCTTCATAAACCTTCCCAGGCTCCACTTCCTCCCCTGGAAATGTGAGATCATTGTATCTACTTCCTGGGTTTTGTGAGAACACAATGGTATAGTTCTGAAAAAGTGCTTAGTGTAATTATTGAAATATTCATAGTATCATGGAAGTAGTGAATGAGAGAGCGAACCTTGACAGATGCCCGGGTTAAATCCCAGTCCTGCCATTCTCTGCGTGGCTGTGGGAAGTGCTGAGCCTCTCTGCCTCAGTGTTCCCTGAAAAGCACGGTGACAGTAAGAGTGCTTTCCCGTGGGCTGTTGCAAAGGTTAAATCGGGGCAGCACCTGGAGCAGTGCCTGACACAGAGCAAGGTGCTGTGCGTGTGGACGCATCAGAGGGTCTCCTGTGACCAGGCAGGGTTGGGTAGGTCCTTTGCGGAGAGATGGCCAGGAGCGGAGTCAGAACTCTGCAGGAATCACGGCTCCACCACAGCCTCTGTTTGTGGCCTTGACTATAGAGACCTCAGGCCCTCCTGCCCCAGGGAGGCCCTGACAGAGCACTCTTCCACTCGCCTACTGAGGCTCTCAGTCTTCCTTCCAAGGAACCATTGGCACCAGGCTTGTTCTCCATCTGATCTCCAGGAGCAAGATTAGGTCTGATCTGTCTGGAAGCTGGAGGAGCCGGATGACCTCCAGGATCCCTCTGCACGGGCCTCTGCCCTTTTCCAGAAGGCCATGGGCATGGGTATACTGGGAGCCCCATTTCCTCCTCCCAGGAGCCCTCTGCACTCCTGTGTTTGCTTTGAGTCAGGCCCGGGGCTGGTGCCTGCCTCTGTAGGGCAGGGTGGAGACCCCAGTTACAGAGGTCCCAGGTTAATAGACGACTGGCAAACCGAGATTTGGCTCAGGAACTTGGGGCCAGGCTCTATCAAAGGACTGGAAGAGGCAAAGCACGGTGACATGCTTTGGAGTCGGGCCAAGTGGGAGGAGTCCCGAGAGACAGGGAGGGGTGGGTTTCTGTGGCTGCCCAGGCATGATGCCTCGCCCCAAGCTCCCTGCCACAGACCAGCCCCGTCAGGTTCCCCAGCTGCATATGTGACTGGGTGCGTCTGTGCCTGAGGGCTGGCATGTATGGTGGAAGCTGTGCTCTTTTGCACACATCTGCCTCTCCGCACACCGACTGCTCATAGTAAAGGCCCTGTGCAACATGCTGTCTCCCCTCATACACGCCGCTCTGCTGGCCCCAACCGCCACGATCCCTGGAGGGGGCTGGTAGCTCAGCAGGACTGGGTGCCAGACAGAACCTCAGGGGGTAGTTGGCGCTGCACTTGGCACCAGCCTCTGGCATTTATGACAGATAATACACTGGGATCAGAGAGTAGAGCTGGGCATCAGCAAAAGTGGGTGAAAGGACGGGGAGGGTGCTACTTGTATAGCTCAGCCTCTCCTGGGACCAGTGTTGGGGCAGTGAAAAAACCAAAAGGCCCAAGGCCTGGGACCAGCCACTTCCACATGGCACCACCCTGAAAGATCCAGTCTGGTCCAGAACTTTGGTCTCTGCTCCTTAATAGTCTCCTTCCTCCTCAGCACATGGGGACAAAGGGGCCACCTCAGCCTTCCATTCCACTCCAGGAGGCTGCACCTAGCTTTGGTTGCAGATATTAGTGAGGTGAAGAAAGGACCTGATCCAGGGGACAGACCACTGACGGCTCCACCTTAGAGCAGTCCTGGGGAATATGACCAATGCAAGACTGAGAGGGAAATTAATGGCTGGGAGAGTGGGTGAAGGTGGAGAGAGCAAGGGCCCGAAGGACTAGAGAGCCAGGGAACAGAGCAGCCACCTGGAGGCCAGGATTGAAACTGCACTAGACGATCCAAGTGTGGAAACCAGTGTGTGAGATCGGGCAGCACAAGAGACTCCATGGAGAGGCCCTCTTGACGACTGGGCCAGGTCTGTTCTCAGAGGTCAGGGCTTCCTGGGTGTGACAAGTGTGTGATGATGTCACCAGGACTGAGTGGAAGGGGCCCGCCCCATGGGGACCATAGTGGGGACCTTCGTAGGCAGCCACCAAATCCTGAGCCTTCCATTCTGAGTTCCTGAGTGTGCACAGAGCCTGGCCTGCTGCAGCCTTTTCCACCCAAACTCACTGAATTTCTTTTCTTCTGAGCCCTCGCCATCAAAGCTACAGAAATCACCAGGAGACTGGGTTTGTAATGGAGAGGACGTGATATTACACATCACAGCAGCAGTGGGGTGCTCTCCCTGCCTCCCCCTCTGCTCACTGCACCTCACAGAGGCCAAGAAGCCCTGGGTGCCTATGGGAGCCGGAGCCTGCTGTGCTGGGTGAGGTCCTCAGATGTGCGCAGCTCCTCTCCCTTGAGTGTCTGATCCATCTGGGTTCCAAAGGAGTCCGTGCAGGCTGGAGGGAAGAGGGCTCAGGATATGCTCTGGCCATTGGGCAGAGAGTGAGGTGAGCAGGGTGGAGGAAGGATCCTGAAGCAGGGACCCCATAGCAAGCCATCCTGTAGGGAAAAGAAGCAGAAGCCAACAGTTCCCAGTGGCACGTGATGTTTAGAAAGCCCTGATTTACCCACAGCTTCTGCAGTTCCTGGGGCTTCTCCTCCCTCCCACACCCTGGGCTGAATCACCATCCACAGGGGCTCCTGCTCAGCTCCCCACCCTGGGACCAAGTTCCCTGCCCTATACAGACCCTCCTTGGCTCTAGCTTGGCCTTGCCATTGTCCTCCATGACTGTTTTGTTTGCACCTGTGTCTGTAGCATCCTTAGCCCCTCCAACAAACAGTTCCCTATCACTTGCTCAGAGAGCTCCTCTGTCCAGAAAACCTGCTCTGCCGCAGGCTGTCTGCGGACTCTGCCCCACTGCACAGCCTCCAGTGCTCCCACAAGGGGATTCAGGTGGCCTAATTCTACTGCCACGGCCGGTTTCTCCAGATGTTTCTTCAGAGGGCAGGAGTTTGGATCTTCTCTGAATGGCACCTCCCCAGGAGAGGGATCATGAGTGCTGAGTACTTTGCAGGGTGCACAAGTAAAGGGCATCATCTAGAGGCATTCAGAAGAGATGAGACCTCGGGGACAACCTAATCTAGTGTTCTCACACTCGTGCGTGCCTCAGTTCCCCTGGAGGGTAGGCCTGGCCCCACGGTTTCCAGTTCTGTGGTTCTGAGGTGCAGCCACACACCAGGTAAAGCAGATACTGCTGGTCCCAGGACAACACTTGAGAACCATTGATCAGATACCACCCCAGAGCCGGGGATTTAGCTCAGTGGTGCTGCTGCCACCTGCCTTGCAAGTGCAAGGTCCCAAGCTTGATCCCTGGTACCAAAAGAAAAACAAAATAAGACCCCAGCTCTACAGAGGAGGGAACAGAAAGGGCCCGGTCAGAAATGAGGTCCCCAGAGTCTCATGGAGCAGGAGCAGGCCAAAGCCCTGAGAGCTGTGTCTCACCAGTGCCCCTTCTCCTGCATGCATCAAGCACCCCTCGGGCTTTATCCTGGAGGCACTTGTTACCTTTCAGACCCCGAGGGCCCCCGAGAAAAAGGGAGCCCATCTCTAGGAACCTCTACTGGGAGGTCGGAGACTTGGCAGCATCGAACATCTTCTTCCGGCCTTCCATGCCAGACATGGCCTCCACGTTCTTCCTCCAATCGCCCACCTCCACAGGCCGCTCCTGAGGGTAGGCCAGACAAGTCAGAGACTCACTGGCCTACAGGGGCAGCCTGGAACCCCTAAGCTCAAGAGAAACTGAGCCATGGGAATTCTGCCTCCTCAAAAACCATAGGAAATCCCAGCAACCCTGCCCAGTGGTGAGGTGTGAGAACTCAGCCAGACAGGGATGTGGGTGCAGCTGAGGGACCATGGGAAGGGGAATTTTCTGGGTGATAGGGGGCAGCAGGCCAGTTCCCAACCCAGTGCACCTCCAGGCCCCACACCCTCCTCTCTGACACCCAGCACCTCCTCCAAGAAGCCTTCCCCCCTGTACTTGCTCATATTCCATTCCCTCTGCCTGTTCTCAGCACCATTTCTCCTCTTTCTGAAGCGTTCTGGGCGAGAGACTGTGTTCCTATCACCCTTGTTCCTTCCAGGGCACATGCCCTCTGACAGGTTTCAATTCTGGGCCCATAATACCATGAGATCAACCAACTTGGAGAGACTGTGGCTGAGCAAGTGACTGAACTCAGTTCTCAGGTTTCTGTGCTCATGTGTCCCTGTACCACGAGGAACCTCATTTCCCTGAGGTGACAGAGGCTGTGGGCTCACCCATCACTCATGCTCTCTATACACTGGGAGTAGAGTCTTACTTTATTCCCCCTCTAGTCTTTTCTGTGTCCCCCTCTGAGGGAAGAAGACTGAGGAAAGGAAGCAAGTCTTCTTTCTCTGACCCCGGTCTCCTGGGGGTTCTAGAATGTTCTGACTGACAGGCTCTGGGTCCTGCCTGAGGCTGTGTGAGGGGTGACAGGCAAAGGCCAGTGGGCAAGGGTCCTCACCTTCTCTGTGTCCTCCTTCTTCACGGACTTGAGGTTGGCCCGTAGGTCCATGGACACCTTATGTTTGGAGCCCAGCAGGGCTCGGAGCATGGCATCCGCTGAGACACGGACCCTGCGCAGTGGTGGGCGCTTGAACTTCCCACGGAGGTCCAACACCTTCAGCTTCAGGTCTTTAATCTGCAGGTGAGAAGGAGCCATTCTCACTGAAGGGGCAGCTGGCCATGGGGCTCCCTGCCAGAGGACCTCAGACCACGGTGTTCTGGCCAGAGGTATACCCCAAGTTCTCAAGTCTGGAAGTTAGACTCTCGGGACACTTCGAACCATCTGTCCCTTTGCAAATATCCACCCCACGTGCATTGATGGATGGAGGAACATAAATGAAGTCTGTGATCCAACCCCATCCCTGTGGCCCACTATGCCAGCATCCCTGTTTGAGCCCTGTCTGGAGTAGAGGCTGCTTCCTCAGGTTCCCACAGCCTCCACCCTGCTCTCTGCTGGTCCCTGATCAGGGAGCCAGGCTCACAGCCATGGCCCAGCAGGGAGAAAGCTCCCAGGCCCCAGACCTCTGGAGGAATTCCTACATATGATCCTTGGAAGCTTGGTGACCCCATAGGTCATCATCCTGCTGGGCAGAAAGAGGGGGAGGAGGGAAGTGAACTGTGGTCCCCCAGTAGACCCATCTCTGCTTGGCAAATGCTCCATAGCAGCCCCCTACCTCAGCCAGAATCTGCCCTTCCCAATCTTCCCTGCCCACTGGAGCAGGAATCACAGCCAGCACAGGTGTGAGGATCCACAATGTGGCCTGGGCTGAGCTCTTCGCCTCCCCATCTGCAAGGTGCAGATAATAACCCCCACTTCGCCCCCAGGCATGTAGGGAGGATCAAAGGATGGCACATGAAAGCCCTTCACAGAGGTAAGATGTCATTAACAGGCATCCGACTACTTGCGTGGGAGAATAAAGAAGGCAGCTTCTGAAGAGGCCATGTGGCAGGTGGGGAGGAAGTCTGTCTTCCTGCATGATTATGCTCCTGCCCATCTCCCGCCCCATGGGGCTGGTGTGGAGAAACCAACCCTTCCTGCTGTGTGACCACCTCCTGCTTCCACAGAATTTGGGACAGCATCTATGCCCACCCTGCCTCGCCCAGACATTGCCCGTTCTCCCACCCGGAGGCACCCAGCTGTGCCCCTCGCCCTCCCAGCTCACCTCCCTGGTGTTGTGGAGGCACTTGGCCTCGATGTCATACCGCTCCTCATCCACCACCTCCACCTTGGCATGCAGCTCCCGGCACAGGTCCTGGGGGAAGCAGATGGACAGGTGCGAGTGGAGAAGGAGGAACCAGCCACAGGCTCCAGCCTCTTTTCTGCCTGCCTGCACCTCTCCCTGGCCCCTTCCCAATACCTAGGATCTGGAGGACCCCTGGAGGTCGACAACTCAGAGGATAAGCCCTTTGCTCTCCTTTCTGTACAGGCTTGTCTCCTTAAAAAGATAGTTTCCAAGGGGCTGGGGATCTGGCTCAGTGGTTCCACAGCCTGCCTTGCAAGCTCAAGGGCTCAAGTTCTATCCCTAGTACCACAAAAACAAAAGCAAAACAAAAAGATAGTTTTCATAGGACAAAAGTAAGAGATAAGCGGGAATCCTGAACAAGTGTTAAACAAAAAATATCAAAATAAAAAGAGCTAGTGATTGCCACTGCCTGGACATAACCACTGATGACACTTTGGTATGTGTCCTTCCAGTCCCTTTTCTCCGCAATCGCTGGCACTTAAATAGTTGCCACTGTTTTAAAAACATGACCCACCTCTAGGGAAAGCAGAGCCGAGCCCTTGGAGGAGCAGGGCTTCCTGAGATGGGCTACCTGCCCGCTCTGTGCCACCCCACCGGCTCAGGGACAGCCTGGTGGCTGGCCGGGTCCTTGCACCAGAAAGTCCCTTCTCGCTCTGGGACTCACTTCCCCCACCTGTAAAGTAGGCTCAAACTTCCTCACCACTCCCTCAGTTGGGGAGATACCATGGGGGCCACACAGGAAAGGGTGCCTTTTGAGCTACGGAGCTGCTGAGCCCTTGTCAGTCCCACCTCCCGGGCCAGGCCCCACGTGCAGCCCCCAGCGCACCGCCCTCCAGACTCACCTGCAGGGCACTGAGCGACAGGCCTCGAGTCTGCAGCGTGGGAATGCGCTCGGACAGGTAGCGCCGCTTCTCAGCCTCGCGCTCCTCGTGCTCCTGCTCCCAGCACTCCTTGGCCTTGGCCAGCATCAGGCTCTGACAGGACAAACGGCTGAGCGGGGGCCAGCCCTCGTGTTTCCCTCTGGCCTCAGGGACATAGGGGACAGTGGCCCTGCTAGGCGAGCTCTGAGAGTGTGGGTCCCTACGAAGGTTTGCGGAGGCTGCCAGCTGGCCTCGTCCACACACTGGATAACCACACATGACACTCCTGCCTCCCTCCACAGTCTGCCTCTCATCTACTTTTTGTGAGTTTTGGCCCCCACAGTTCCAAGAGAAAAGCACATTCCAGAATAAAGCTCGTCCCTCTGCCTCTACTGCAGATTCCTACCCTGAGGCTGGTCACCGCCTCCTCACAGGACCCAGGAGGGTGCCAGGGCCCCAGCCACCTTCCCCGTTCCACAACCCTCCACAGCCCCTACGGCCCACACCGCTGCCCCACTGACAACCCCTGGCCTCCACCCCGCCTCACCTTCAGCATGAGTTTCCGAGAAGCAGTGATCTTGGATTTCCTCTGAGAATGAAAAGGGAGAAGAGAAAGGCGGTGAGGCAGAGGCCAGAAAACTGGAATTCAGGGCCAAGTAAAAATGAATCCCAGCCAGGTTCACCATCACTACCCAGAATCCTCTGCTCACTTTAGCGTCCCTTTCAAGCGCATCTGTGTGTTTAAACCCGCTAACAGAGGACACTGCAGTCAGAGACCGTGGCATGGGGGCTGAGGCCCTGACTTGCCATCCTGGTTCTGCTGTAGGCAGAATTCTGTAAGAGACTGGGTAGAGTGTGTGACACCTCTTTGTCTATAAATGAAGACACCATCCACCTTACTTAGTTCACAGAGCTGCTACAGCCAAAATGAGAGTGCAGATGTGCAAATACTTTGAAAAGCCTAAAAGAGATGCATGTATTAGTGCAGTATCAGTCTGGGCAGTAAGTAACAACAATATCTCGCTGCTCTATCATGCCAGAAGCATAAACTGTGAATCACCTAAATAAATGAAAAGATATCTATACAGACATCAAAATGTTTTAATGTTAACACTATCTATATAAAACTTTCTAAGATATTAAAAAAACATTGCTTTTTCTTATCAAAAGACTAGATATAATCTTGCCAATTTAACATGCAATAAGTCCTAACCCCATGCTGGGCACAGCGGTGCACACCTGTAATCCCAGCTACCCAAGTGGCTGAGGATGGAGGATGTCAAGCTTGAGGCCAGCCTGGGTCACTCAGTCAGACACTTCTCAAAATGAAGAATAAAAAAGGCTGGGATTATAGCTCAGTGGTAGCATGCCCCTGGGTTCAAACCCCAGCTCCACACCAAAAAAAGAAAGAAGGCGGGAGGGGGCCGGAGGGGGAGGGA